ACAGGTTAATTGACAACAGAAAATAGCTGTAGCTTCATCAGATTTTTTAAAAGTTATTTTTCTCCGTATTCACTCAGGCAGAGTTTTCAAGGAAACAAAATTGAGGCCATAAAACCTTAAGATAGAAATTTCACTTAAGATCATACATTTCTTTTCACAAATCTGAGCAGTCTTCAGTATATTAGGAAACATATGACCCTTCAAAAGAAATATTACCTCTTTTTCTATCCCAAATCTGGTAATATTTCAGGATTAGTAGATTGCCAAAAAACCCCAACATCAATAGTTGTGGTGTGGTGCACTTTGCTGCCAGTGTCCTTATTTGGAACACAAAAGTTTTGATATTTGTAGGAATGGAGCATGGTCACCAATAGAATTTAAATTGGGCATTATTGGCTGGGCTGGTAGCACCATTTATTATTAAAGTTGCCAGATACTTTCCATTATAAGGCCCTATTTTCAGTTACTTATAACTATGCGAAACTTTAGCAATTTGGGCTGAAATTTTCCACGTCAAGTATTTGCTTCAGGCTGATTATTTAAAAAATAAAAAAAAGTTTCAGTCAAAATGGTCCAGCTAGTTCTGAGAATGAGGATAATGAAACAATGTTACTTTTTCCTGTGTGACAAAAATGCTGGAGGCCTTTTCTTTGAAATGTTGTAGTGCTCTCAGGCATGGTGGTAGGACTTGCAGTTTGGCAGGCCTTTGTGTCGGGGATGTGTCCTTTGCCATTCATGTGAAAACCCACACAAATCTGGCCAAGTTATAAGCCTTTAAAAAAATCACAGTTGCACATGCTCAGTCGAGACTTGAGAAGCAGCTAAAATTTCTGAAGAGTCCGTCCTCCTTGAGCATGATCCATCTACTCACAGCTCCTGGTGCTGACCAGACTGTGCAAGTACCAATCCCACCGAGCAAACTGAGTACAATTCCAACCCAGGGCTATGAGGGCTCAAAAGGGCGTCTCCCAGCTGTTCCAGGTCAAGGTGAAGCCAAGCATAAGATTCACAGCAGGGATCCTGTCCCTCCTCTGCTCTCAATGACTCCCTACCCAGGTGTCCAGGCAATATGCAGGAGAAAGCCATCTGATTTGAATGCAATGGGACAAGAGATGGACTGGGAGGAGGGAAAGGTGTTGGTGGGACAAGGCATCAGGTGAAACTGGATGGCAGAGGAGAAACTGATGAAGTTGGAGGGGGAGACTAAGAGTGGTTGGACAAGACTAAGACTGGGGACAAACTCAGATTGCTTGAGTAAGGAGACTGGGACTGGGAACCAGTGGAGGGATGGGGTGGGGGAAGGAGAGAGAGATTTGACAAGATGTACGGCTATTGAGGGGGAACTGGGACTATCTGGGCAAGGAGACTGGGACAAAGGGCCAGAGAACAGGTGCGGGGAGATTGAGATTGGGTGAGGAAACTGGGAAAGGAGATTGTGACTGGGAGGCAGAGTGGGGTGGCGGGAGAGGCAGATTGAACGAGGAGCTGGGAAGTGGGAACTCGGCTTGGGTGGGCAAGAAGATGGGGACTTGCATGAGTAGCCTAAGGCATGGAGACTAGGAATGGGTAGAGAAGGAGAATGGGACCGGAACAAGGAACCAGAGATGGGAAAGAGACAGAACTGGGAGAAGTTCGATGGGATGGGGCAAAGAGATCCAGATTAGGGAAAACTGGTAAAAGAACCTGCATCTACTAATGCACACTCCCTTCTTGAGCCTGGAATGGAACCCATGATTTCTGAGTCTCGCCATGCCTCTTCTGTCAACAAATGCCTGTGAAAGTGTGTGTATTGTCCTCCTCTAGTACTGGACTACTTAGAGGATGAAACCTACTACTATTATCAGTTACTCTGTTAGCTCAACTGGCAGAGGTACATGTGATGGATCTAAAGGTTCCAAACCTGCCAATGAACCTTATGGATGTCAATACAAAGCTACATGATGGAATTTCGGGATGAGGGGAGGGAGGTGGATGTTTTTTTAAAACCTCGGAAATTACATACAAACAAATTAGAAGAACATTAAGTTTATTAAGTCAAACAATTGAATGTTAGAAAATGCCAGAACTATGATTGTCTGTACAACTTTAATTTGACCCCCTTATGCATATGCATTTTGATAATCTGTAATTACATGCTCACGTACTAATTTTTCCATGGAGCCCTGCCTCATTCTGTGCACTGGATTCATCTGCTCTGAGGATGTAGTAATGTAGTAAAGGAGGCTGTTGTCTGTAGATCCCTGCTTCATTTGTTGGAAATTGGAAGGTGTGTACTATTAGTACTACCAGGACAGGTGGGTCTAGGCTTTCCCATAACTAAAGGGTTGGAAGGTGTGTGGTGAATGAGGCAGAGAATGGATGATTAAGACAGCTGAATACTACCCTGGAAAACTCAATTCTATCTCTGCCTCTGCCACAGAGTTTCTATGATACGCTAAGCAAGTCACTTAAGCCATTCTTTTCACAGATGATCATAATTGCATGCTCTGCATTTTATGGGTGGCACTCACAATTGCAACTAAAGTCAATGGGAGCTCTGCTTCAGTATATACAGTGCTATATAATGCTAAGTACTTTGAAAAATCGAGTCTTAGGTGTCCCAAATTGCCCCTCCCCAGCCCCTGAAAGTAGTGGGTACTTTTGACCTTATTCTCTGTGCTTTGGCTCCTTATCTGTAAATTGAGGATAATCCCATCCTCTCATCTCACTGGGGTGTTGTGAAAATAAATAAATTTATGTTTGTAAAGCATTCAGATACTAAAGTGATGAGTGCCATGGAAAAGCCCATGAGGAAATTTATAATTCTGTCTTCATAGCAGGGTTTGAATAGTGTTCAGTAAGGGTTGGGGCCACACACTGAACTATGAGGATAAAACAAAATATTGAATAGCTGTTCAGGAAGTGAACACTGTTTGTCCTGTGCACTGAACGAGGCAGGGGTTTTGTGGAAAAAATAATTTGTGAACATGAAAGACTGTATCATAATGTATACCCTCAAGGGGGCTGAAGTAAAGTTGCAGAGGCAACCTTAATTCTGACATTTACTAACTTTTGAATTATTGACATTTCAACCATAGTCATATTATTTTAACACAGTTCTTTGAATATAATATATTTATACCAAACATCCCCCCCAGAAATCCTCAGGAAAACACAGCATCTGCATGTTATTTATCTGAGAAAAAATTCTTAATAATTCAACTTTTCTATGAAGGAATATATTCTCTTTAATTGAAATGCCAATGTACATCTCTGAGTAGTCCACCTTTGTTTCTACACCTTTGAATTTTTCTTGCTATTTCTACACCTTTTAATTTTTCAGCTATTTTGGATTCTCTCTAACCTGATGGCTTTATAGTGAGTGGTCTAGATAGTGGCTGTGCTCATGTAAGCGATCCTGAAATGGCTGTATACCAGGCTGGTCACTTTATGTGAATGAGAGTTGCCTGAGGGTTGCTCTAATTGACACTAACTGTGATTGGTCTCAGAGGCTCATAGTGGCACCTGGGATTGCTGAGATTCCTGGATCTGGCTCTGTGAACTTTAGATCATAGTCATGCTTTCTGAATGGCTTTCTGAGATCAATAATTACATTAAGAGCAGCTAGCTGAAGTTGAGGTGATACTGGTAAGAAGTAGGAAGTGTTCCGGAGAACTTGTCCATAATAACCCCATCCATTGGCAACATCTGCCCTCAGACTGTTAAATAAATTTTGATAGTTATTAGCTATGTGCTTGTGGCCAGAGGACATATGTACGCTCAGGAAGCTTAACCTTTTAAGTCCTTGTTTTGTGGTAGGTATGTTAGTGTGTAACCTACACTATTTCACAACTACATTTTGTGTATGTTTGTGACAGCTGCAGTGCACCAGGAATTGAACTGGGGACTTCATGAGCTGCTAAAGCTTGCCTTAAAGCTCCATAGGTGGTGGCTGTGACAACTCATATCCTCTGTGGATCAGTATAGAGGGGCACCTAAGACACACTCACTAATGGGCTACATACATGTATATCCATACAGTATTCTCTGAAGAATATTGGGTCATTAGGAATTTGTGAAAAAAAAGTATATGGAAATTACAGAATTTAGACCATTTTCTAGAAGAATAATGTAGAGAGAAGAAACGTATCCAGAAACTGAGAAGAAAATGCAGGCAAATCTTGCCTAAAAAGGTAGGTGAGGTCATGACAAATCCAATCCATTAACTTTGCAACTTCATGCTGAAATTGACTTAAGGAAGTTCAGCTTCCTGATGACACAAGGTCTCCCTCAAGTTGAATAGGGAAGAAGATTGCTAGGATCTAGGCAAATTTATCTTTAAAGCATGTCTTTCAAAGCCAGAATATTGCGGGACAGCATGAAAAACGTAGACCGCACAGCTACCTGCTTATAATTTCCCATTGGCCTTGTTCACAGCCTCAGCTTACACAGGCACATCCTACATTTTCATTACTGCATGAAGAACCTGATTCTTCATCCATTTAAGTCAATGGCAAGGCTTGCTTTTTCCTTGCTGGTGTAGGGTCAGGCCCAGAAGGAACAGCACAGAATATGGTCTCTGTTCACAGGGCCAGAAAGCTGTCAATTAAAAAGGGAGAGGTATAATACATGGGTTTAACTTTGAAGGGGCGAAATCCTGAAAAAAGGAATCTGACGTACGGTTTTGCCAAACCAAATACCATCTTTTGTGCTTCTTAAAACATTTTCCCTTTGTACAGAAATTCCTCCCTTCTTATCCTGTGGGGGCGTGCCATCCAAAGAAAATGAGTTAGGAAAAATTACCCTGCCGAAGTAACACATTCTTTCACTGCCTTGTCTTCTGTTGCTTTCATCTTTGTTTTAAAGGTCTCTTCCTCCTACATCTGTCCTGCAGGCTTTATTATTGTTTTCTATCTGTCACCCACTCGCTCTTCCATTCACTTTTTAAGAGATGTCCAGCTACTCTCTAGCACACATGCTTACATCAGCCTCTTGAAATGAAAGTCACTACAGCTTGATACCTATCCAAAAAATGTCAAGTTTGTTTTCATCTTCTTCACCAAATGCTGTCCTCCTCCTCAGTACTTCAGTGTCCTTCCTCTTCCTGTAAAATACTCAATATTACTACACGCAGTTAGCATCCTGCACAGTTCAAAAGTTCCTTACACCCACACATCGCATTAGACCTAAACAGTGCTTGTCTGTTTGACTTACGCTTAACAGCAGAACCCTGTCCTTCCAAATGCTATTGATTCATGTAGTTGCTAGGGGGGTTTTGTATGCACTGTGGTACTAGGCAACAGTTATATTGTGCAAAAATGATCCACTTCCCTCAGAGTTTACTCCTGTAATATTTTGACACCACATAATGGTTTTGGGTAGGGCCAAAGAGTGAGGCCATATTTCCAGTACTGTATTCATTTATTTAGATGAAGTGTAGTAATGGTCACACCCAGGAAGTAAGTTTAAAATCATGTTCAACCAAAGGAAAATGTTAAAATGGTGAGAGGATGCAGCAGGTGTGTGGTGAGATAAGGTCCTTTAATATATCTAGGGGACTTACCCACTTTATTGGGTAATCTTGCCCAAATAAAAGAGCTTCAAAGCAAATCAAGATTCAGAATGGGTTCTTCCATCTTGGGAACTTAGATAGCCCCCATATTCATATTATTTGAGCTCATCACAATCTTTAATGTATTATCCTTGCAACAAGGCTGTGAGTTAGGAAAGTGCTGCTATCCCCATTTAATCAATGGGAAACTGAGGCACAGAGAGGCTAACTGAGTTTCTTAAGGTCACATCATCAGTGTTTGGCTGAGCAAGGAACTGAATTCCAGTCTCCTGAATCCCATGCTGTGCCTTAACCACCGAACCGTCCTCCCTAGTGATGTGCCTTTGTAGGAAGGAGAGCTCTGCAAGAGGAAGCTTAGCAGCACATGGAGAAATTACTATAAACTCTGTTGCAATCAAGTACCATTTATATCCTCAAAGAGCTATTTCTGTGCCTTTACATTTCTCCTTACCCTCCCTACCATTCAGAGTACAACTTTTTCTTTTTTATGGGTGGGTATATATCCTGTAGGCAGCAGCAATGCATGTATGGAAATAGTCCTGTCTGAAAGATTCAGGGAGAACACATTCTACTTCTGCAATCAATTCTAAAAAGAATTCCGTCTCAACTAGCACCACGGCATTTTTTCCATAATCTGACTCCTACACGGCACTTAAACAGAGCTTGTAGGGTTGTCTGTAACACTGCCATCTGATGATTTCCAATAATACTACAACCCTAGGTCTTTCAGAAGCAAAAGAATGCTTACTGAGTCAGATCATTGCTATTTAACTCAAAATTGACATTTTTGAAATACTAATTTCAGAAAATTATTCAGATTATAGATTCAGTCTCTCAGGTAGTTTTAAAATATGGACAGAATAGGTGACATAATTACCATTATCTTTTGGTTCCTCTCTTGCTTCTCGCAACTAAGCTTGGTCAGAGATGTTGTACAAACCGTGTGAACAGTTTTAAAAATAGAAATTCTTGACATAATCAGAATCATATGGATTCAAATTAACTTATTTTGATTTGAGAAAATGTTGCTTATTACCACTAAATATTCCTCCATTGTTCAGCGGTACCAGTCAGGATTTGGTGTGCATCACTTGGCTTTGATAGTGCCAGGCTGGCATTGCCCATCAGGAATTTGTAGACAAACTCTTTCTTCAGGGTGAGGTAAGGCTTTAGAGTTCCTGGGGTAATACTGGATTTGGTGCATCTGTTTAGCATTAAGCTGTTTCTGAGTTATGACTGGACTAATGAATTGTGTTATTAACTGATGATATGCGGAAGGCAAACTCAAATGCAAACAAACCATTAATTGTTAGGGAGGTGATTTTGTAGGATATCAGTTGATGTATATTATACCGCATCACAGCAAGGCATGGGTCTCCTCCAATCTGCTTATTTTTTACTAGTTAAGTATTTCAAGACTGTCTATTATTTCTGCTTTACTTATTTGATTGCTGATAGTGAGTGCTAAATGTCATATAATGAAAAGTATGCATATGTGCAAAGTGCTGAATTTCTTGTGTTTTATACGATGGCTCATTGTATGATGCCAAATCCTCAAACATCCTGTACTGGGCAAAGGTAACTTTTCACTTACCAATCACTGTGTGAGTTTTTGTGTGTTCCTCCCCTCTGACCAACACATCATAATGACTTTAACTATTCAAGCACAGAGTTTTCAGTTTCCATGTTTTTTATTTCTCCAAGATCTAACTGCAAATGCATTGCTAAACATAATTTGTAAGACTCTCTTCTAAGACCTGCTAAATTGTGCAATGGTTTTGTGATATGGTAACTGGGATAAGACAACCAAATTAATTTTAACTTGTGTGCTATGAACCAAGATTGGAATATAATATCTCAACAAGTGAGATGCTAAACCAGTGCAACACCTGTCACAGAAACATGTGTACTTTTCCTTTAAAAGTGATACCTTGACCTTGTTAGTCAATTTCCAAGAACCCTTTCCTGGATGTCTGTATCAAAGTCCTCATATAGGACCAGTTCTGTCACCCTGACTCATGATGAGTAATACCTTACTCGGTAAGTAGCTAGATTGAAATCAGTACAAAATAGTTACTTGTGGAGCAGTCATATTCAGCGTGAGTAATGGAGACAGAACTGGGCCCACAGGATGCTAGAAATGTGTATGTCTCTCAGCAGTTTGGCCTTATTTTTTTTTAAGGTCAAGGAAGGATGTATGATTTGATACTCCGATATCTTGACAAAAGCCCTCCTCAGAATTCTGCACTCTTTTGAACAGCAAAACCTCCAACAGCTTTCACAATATTTGATTTGAGCCAAGGAAGCACTTTGGAAGCTCGGTGTTAAAAACCTCAGGAAAAAAGTAGCTCTAAGAACATACTGATCTAAGGAGATTTAGCTGCGCAACACTGTACTGATTAGATATTTTTATGGTCATGACTGATGGCACTAGCTAAAGGCAGGCTTGGTGAAAGGTTCATCTGAAGGTCTGCCAATGCATCTTAAGCCTGTCTTTCTTAAATACCCTGAACCTTGCCTTTGCAGAGTCTGCCAAACTGTATGGGATAAATGTCCATTGGAGAGTAGGATGAAACCACCAAACTAATTCCCATTAATCAGTATTTGTGGCTAGGTGAAAGGGTAGTGCATTGACCTCCTGGACCATCTAATGTGCATATAAAGGCCAAGTCAGATCTGTGGGAGGGTGGAAACTTATGCCCATTCAGATTCCAGGTGACTGATTGCAGCATGGTGGGGGAGGAGGGTTCCAACATATTTGAAAACAAAAATTGTACAATATCAAAACTAGAAGCTGGTCTTGTTGCTACTCCTTTCTACTCTCAGCATATTGTGAAATGACTATAAAGGAGATGATCACTGAGGTTTTCCCTTCCCTCCTCCCTTAAAAAGCATTCAGCATATCACATTTCCAAAACTGCACACGTCTTTCCCATACCATCTGCCCCTTGTTTTTAGCTTAATAGATGGATGACCTCCCAAGGCTGTTATGTTATTTATATTAGATTTTTTTTTTAAATTTTGGTAGTATGCTTTAAGTAAAAGATATCTGCTGGACTCTATCCAGCATCCCAAAGCTGAGTGTGGTGTTTTAAATTAATTTTAAACTAAAGTGGAATATATTGAACATTTAGATTTGATACTGAATGTATAATCACTCTTTTGACACATCATAATAGTTCTGTTTGGTAGATAGCCAATGAAACATTATGAAATTTAAAGTATTAATTATATTGCTACTGATAATTGCTGAAAATACTAGTCCTATGACAGTGTTTATCCTCCAGAAACATTGACCTCATACTACATTAGAGGCTTACTGGCTGTTGGGCAATTACGTATTTAATTAAGAGCCTGATCCTGAGTGGTATTGAAAAATTGGACTCCTAATGGCTGCAAGAGGGGGTCATATGTGCTCAGCAGCTCTGAGGAGCCAACCATAAATACAGGACTTTATTCTCTAACCCATCACTCCAGTTTTACAGTGCTGTCATTCCATGCAACGTTGTGCAGAATCAAGCTCATGGTGTATTATGGTCACTCATTAAAAATGTGATGTAAACTGTTGCATTTTCTTTTTAGTGTAATGTTAATGCCAGTTAAAGCCTTGCCTGTTAACAGAAGTATGGCCATTCAGTGGACCTCTTATTATGTTTCATTGGCTCCCCTCCCTCCTGTCCTCTCCTCCCCCCAAATCTATACATATATATGTTTTTCTAAGTAATTACATACTTTTAGTGACTTCTACTTGCCTGTACTTTCCTAAGGCTGATCCAAATTGCCCCAGTCACTTTTCCCAATGCACACATGTGCTGAATGGAGAAACCATTCCTCAGAACAGTGACAATTCTAACATTCAAGGAGAAAATACTAGCCTTATGAAGAGAGTTTAAGAAACTTGCAGGTCAAAACTAGAAATCCAGTGAGAACAGCAGGAGTCCGTCAAGATTTCATTGCTCTCTAGTTCTAGCATGTCTAATTCCAAGCATCGACAAACATTTGGTGTGAGTTTTGCTCTAACAATGCCTGATGGTACAAGGTGAATGCTTATGTCAGTTAAACTGGATCACCTGTTTCCACAGTGTTAAATGTAAAATGTCCCCGGTGGGCAAAGCACAGATATATTTTAAAACTTTTTACCAGGCTTTTAAAGAGATTTTGTGCCAAAGCCCTGATTTGGTGACCTGTAGGGCACACTGCAAGGTTGCATCTGTTGGGCCGAGCATTTGCCTGAGTACGAGAGAGAGAGAGAGATGGCAGGGCAGGAGTAGGAGAGGTGTTTTTTAACACTGCTTTACTTGTGGCATTATTGGTGCCGGTGTCAGCTTTTGGGAGTGATGGATTCAATAGCAATGCTCTCTGCTGTTGCCTGTTCTTAGGAGAAAAGATTCTTTGGTTAATTATATTTTGAATTAGGTAGTACTTCTAGAGGCTGCACTCTGCGCCAGCTAAGGCCCATGTGATGGAAAAGGGACTGGCTTCACACGAGAACAGGGTAGGCAAAAAACAAATTTCACTACTATCATAGGAGGTAAAGTTTGGCATCATTGCTTTGGACATGAAATGTTTTCACACATCTAGGAAGCTGTTCCCTAGATTAAGGAAATTAGTATAATTAAATTATGTCTTGTATTTATTACTTAAATTTAGAAATAGTCATAAATCCAATCACAGACATCTTTTTATCCTTTTTTTTAACCTTAAAAGTCTTTATAAACTATGAAGTAGGTGCTTGAACTGTAGAGTACAGGACTCAGCTTAATCAGACTGATCCACCCATGTTAGCATCTTGACATCTCTAATTACATTTGCAGTAGTATTTCTTCCTTTCAGTTAGTGGAGAAGGACATTCTAATGTCTTGATGTTATTGCTAAATCACAATGTTTCTGATAGGTGAGTTTTATGTGAATTTACAAGAACTCCACTGCATGCAGGAAGTTAGAACCCTTCACCATACTCTGGTTTCCGCCAACTATAACTGGTCCTTGAAAAATTATTAAAAAAAAAAGTTAGATGCAGAAATGCAAGTTCAATAGCTGCGATTTTATGTCCAAGTCAGATATTTGTGCACAAATGGCTAGCTCCCCATCGAACTAGCCAGTTGTGGATATGATCATGATAAACTCATTTGCAAATTGGGCATGCAAATGTGCACACATTTTTACGCATGTAATTGCATGTCTGACTCTTAGGAAAAGCAGGCCCTGAATACAAAGAATAAAATAACCAGCCCTTCCATTTTGTTCTCTCCCCCAGTAAAATAAAAAGGGCTCCTTTGAAACGAACAGTTAACATATTTAAAACAAAATAAAATGTTCTTACACATCTAATCAGCCTTTAAAATTCACTGCCATACAAGTTCAAATTCAGAGCCGTGGCTGCTTTTGAAAAAGGGGTTAGATAATTGTATAACCAATAATAATGGGTGTTAAGCTATGATTTGATAACTTCTGCTACTTCATGAGGCAATCTGATCACCTCCAGTGGTCAGTTAAAAAAAACACACCTGCCTGCCCCTCATTTACAGCATGAATTGTTGTCCAGTTCTAGCCACTGCTGAAATCGGGAGGCTGGATGGTCTGATCAGATATGACCAATTCTGCATTACTGTTTCTGAGTTCTCTGTGCAGTAGCAAAATTTCTGTTTTATGTCTTGCCACAGAGACAGAGAAAAGAAGAAATTTGACTTAGATTTCTCTTTAACATATTTCATCAAAAGAATGGATGAAATATTTATTTGGCTACTGTCCTTTGCCTTCCCATCAAAGTGAATAGATAGACATTTAATAACACATGGAAACATTAAAGTAGCTTTTTATCAGGATATATGGAAACCTGCTCGGAACAAACATTCTGGCCTCAGGGAGACTTTTTGATTTGTGGAGTTGAAGCTTTGGTGTTTTAAACACCCTCATACATAGGTCAGGTGGTCAATTTTAATAACTGATTTGCTTAAAACTTGTAAAAAAGAACTTGACGAGTCATTAGTGGTAAATGGTATAACATTGGGATTATACTAACTAACATTGGTGCAGTCATTAGAACTTTTGGTAAAACAAGGAACAGTGAAGAAATAGGACTGTCCTGCAGAGGCGGATTTACCATGAAACAAACAGTGTGGTGGCACGGGGCCCCCAATGACAGGGCCCCCCCAAAATGCAGGACAAATCTCATTTGACAACCTGCCCGCAAGTCCCGGCTGGTGGCGCAGCTGGTGGCCCCAAGCCTCTCCTGGCTGGTGGCCCCAAGCCTCTCCCGGAAGCAGCTGGCTGCTGGCATGTCTGTGCATGCCCCTGGCAGGGGGAGGTGGCTCCGCGCGCTGCCCTGGCCTCAGGCAGCGCACAGAGACCCATTTTCCCCCTCCTCTTAAAGGGTGCGCTGAGACATGCCAGCTGCAGCACAGCAGGGCTAAGGCGGCTCCCTGCCCATGCTGCCTCCCTCTCTCCACACTGCACCACTCCCAGCAGTGGCCGGCATGTCTCTGCAGCTCCTGTGTGGGGGCATCTCCTCACATTGTCCCCGCCCTGAGCACTGACTCTGCAGCTCCCATTGGCCAGGAACTGTGGCCAATGGGAGCTGTGGGGGCAGTGCCTGTGGGCCCAGGGGTATTAGAGAAGAGGATTATAGTAAGTAGCTAATGTAAGGGTATAGGCCATTTTAGGCTATATAGCTGCTATTTGGTGCTATTGCACAAAACATTCTTAATAACCACTACTTGTTGTAATCTTAGAAACAAAGTCATACTTTCCTTGTTTAGCACGGTAAGGCTGCAATACAGTCACTTTGTTATATATCCAGTGGTACCCATTCTGCTGAGAGTAAGTTAACTTTTTCTTTTTAGAAGTAACAGCCGCAAAACACCTTGTAAGGTTGACTGGTGCCCCTGCACAGTCTACTGTATCTGCACTACTGAAAGGTGCTGATAGGCTTGTGAATTTTGACTGGATGTATTCTTGTAATACATGTCCATGTGCACCCTGCTAGTACATACTAAAAGTTCCCTGGTGAACGTTGATGTAGTACTCTTTGAAACAGTACTACATCAACATGCGTTAGGGAACTTTAGTGCGCACCATCAGGGTCATCATGGACAGTTAGTGCACACTAGAATTTACACCTCAGCTGGCATGCACTAATGCACTGTGCAAATAAGGCCAAAGTCTCCATGTCCCATGCAGTTCTTGGCTTCTCTTCTGAATCTATCAATTAGTGCAACGAGTGGCTGTGAGTTGTCATGTGGAAGCTGGAATGGAGACCCACCCAACTCATCTTACCTAAGGGGCCACCAGGTATCCAATAGAAGGAACAACTTTTAATCCCTACTGAGCTGAACTAGATTAACTCTTTATAGCTCATTAGCATTGCCCTGAGACACCCTGTCCAAAAGGAAGTGCTAAGGTTACAGCTCCATAAGGCTGGGCATCTTAGCAATGAATGGCTGCTGGTATGCTAATTGAAGGGGGATGTGCCCATATAAGTATTATAATATATTTATTTATTTTGCACAATACAAAATCAAACGGGTTTTCACAATTATTATGAACTAGTACAAAAAAAACAGTTCTAGGAATATGTACCTGGAAAAAGCAACAATGGGGTAAAAAGCAAATTGAAAACAAACATTGCAAAACAAAAGATAAAATATAAGTAATAACAAGGGGAGGAAAATTGTGTTTGGTTGTTAATGCTTGTTGAAAATAAGTTAGGTCTGAGAAAAACTTTGACAGAACACTATCTGCACACAATAAAGTAGACTTACTCTTAGTTCTATGCCTACCTGTTAGGCATAGGACTAAGAGTAAGTCTACTTTATTGTGTGCAGATAGTGTTCTGTCAAAGTTTTTCTCAGACCTAACTTATTTCCAAAAACCTTAGTGAAGGTTTTTCAGTAGGCAGTAAGGATCAAAAGCTAGATAATGTTTACACTGCATGACCCACCTGATGTTGGTTAATTGAGGATAAAATACACAATATTTTTGAACAGTGTTTCAAACAGTTTTCATAACAAGTGGACATGAGGAAACAACTGAGGATCATTTGTTTTGTAGAAGAAGATATGTTTTTACTATAGACACAGGGTTATGAATATGTGCCCTTTTCATTAAAGTTTTAATCTTTTGTGTTGTTTTTAGTCTAATGAAGAAGAATTGAACTGTAAATATTGAAAAATATAGGATTGCACTCAGCTGAATGACATCACCCTCAGAGACTTAGAATGTCTCTTTCAATAGATTGTTGTGTTTGTTAAGATATGCTTTTCCTTCAGTGATGTCTGTTGGGTATGCACAATTTTTATGCAAAATGCAATATTTTAGCTAGAAACAGCTCTGAAGAGAAATTAGTCTGCTAGTGGCTCTGTTAAAATGTCAGCTTATACCCCAAGTTACGAATAATACACACTGTGAGGGGAAACATGGTGTTTAAAGTCCCAGATGCTAAATAATATAAAATAATGTTTTGATTCATTTTCTACACTGTTTAACTCGTACCCCTTCATGTGCAGGACAAAAGGAAACAGTGCCTCCTCATCTACTTGTAGAACAAAATCCAAGAAAGAAGCCTGCAGCACCAGCTGTTGAAGGCAAGTTTGATTCTTTTCTTCGTCAATTCACTCACTGGTCTTGATTCTACTGTCCCATTGACTTTGATGGAGCAGGTTCAAGCCTATAGACCAAAATCACTCAAGGGATTAAGTGTTTGCAGGATCGGGACCTAAGACTCTGACTGTGTGTAATCAGATCTGCATGGATTGGCCCAGGGCCCTGTGTGGAGGATCATTTACTTCAGTGAGTCTACAAGAGGGCACCAGGGGCTTCCTGCCTGAATCAGATTGCAGGAGTGGGGCTAAATTTCTAAAGTGCATTGGGGTGTTTCAGGAGGTAAGGTGCTGTATAAATGTAAACAAGCATCCTTATTATTAAATGACAATGGTGGATTACTATTTCAGCAATTGTTATTTAGGAATGTTACTATATAATCCATTGTAGTTGAGAACAATATATCTTGCTCTATGTTTATTAAATTTACAGACTTACACATCAGCTGCCTCCCCATAATGCTAACCCCACTAAGTAAAAGTAAACCATCAGCCCCCCTAAAAAAAGATCATCTTTAATTGTTCTGTCATGGCATTTTGTAATTTACTCACCTAATAATAATGTTAGTAAAATTGATGTAATACTAATTCTATTATTAAAATGGGACTATATTTAATCACTTTGAAAATATTACCATAGCTTGCATTTCTGGTTCTATACCACTTCTCTGTCTCCCCTTCTAATTATTGTCTAAAGCCTCTGAAACCAGTAAACTCCATGTCATTGGCTTCTGTTGCCTGATATAGCATGCTAGAACTGACAAGGCAGCAAGACCATAACAGCATTCACAAAATACTGTGCAGTCATTCAGTCACACCATGGCACTTCCTGATAATCTCTCAAAGGGGATTTACTTTTATACAATCTAGAAGTTTCACAGTGTAAGAGAAAAACAGATGGGACTGAAGCCTCATGACTTACAACAACTACAAAATCATATTAAAATTTACCTAAATTTAGTAAATAGAAAGCTAGGGAATGGTTTCTGTGGAATTTATGGCTAGAACAAAGAGTTAAATTTGATTAGACAGATACTTGTAATCTTATGATTAGTCTTAGTCAAAATGATTGGCCAAAAATAGTCAAGTGACTTGTTATCTCATTGCCCCAAATGAAGTTGGATGAATATTTCTCTATAAATACACTGTTCCCTTGTTTGACAAGAGTATAAATCTGTGGTTATTCTGAGACACATTATAGTGTATAAATGGATTGCAGTCCTGCCTACTTGAGTCAAAACATTTGAACCCTGCTTATCAGCAAAAAGAGGTTCCTATTGTGTTAAGCACTAAATGCCGTTATCCACCAATTAACCATAATGGAAAAAAGATATAATGGAAAAAGACTGCTCCATTTGTTGTGTGATAAGGGAAATCTTTAAATATAACTGTTGTACAACATGAACTAGGATCAAATTAATATTAAGTTCCTCATTTTCAAAATTATGAGCAATTACTGAGATTGCACATGGAAATGATCATTTATGTGTCTCACCGGTCATTTGTGTGTGTCATTAGATCATTTACACATGCAATTACAGTAACTGTGAGTGCAAATTAGGCACCCATTTGGCAAACACAAATTGGGGACATATTGTATGCACAGAATTGCACAACTCATTTCTTTTTAAGGCTCAGGGTCTGGTCACCATGACTGAATGGTATTCATTCAAGAATTTTTAAGGAAATGAAGAAGGAAGAGCTACTAACAAAAATCTGATATAAATAGCTGATATTTTGCCACCAGTATGGTATCTACGTTTGCGAAAGGAGACAGTGGTGCTCAGGGCGACTGTAGTCCATGAAGTCTTATTCCAGAACTGGGAGGAAATCGTTGAGTAATAAACCACTGACCTAGGTGACAGTAAGAATAACTAGTACAAATTTAGGACTTTAAATTTGCAAAGCACTTGAATAAGCACTAACCAATTCATGAGTGTTATATGATAAGGAAAAACCAGAGAGGCCTTTGCAAATGATAATTAATTCTTTGAAATCAAGTGTTAACTAAGATGTTGGCGTAAACAAGAATTAGTGCATCATTTATTTAATGTAGGACTTCTGATAAAATGGCACACAGGAAGCAGATTAGGAAATTTGTTAGCCAGTTAGCAGGAATATACCTAAAACCTGGTTGACAACAAAGAAAAAGAGTAGAAGTAGAGGAATACATCTGTCAAGGCTCATTCCCCACTCTGGCACTTTGAGTGCAGAAGGTGGGGTCCCGCAAGGATTTAAAAAATTAATACTGGCCACTCCAGGCTTGTATTAAACTCCCAAAGTTACAGCTTCTCTCTGACCTTGGATGGGTAGATGCTGCCACCATCCAAGGGCAAAAAACCGCTTAGGACCCAGGAAGGAGCACTTGGGAATTCCTCCTTGTGGGGTACCCTCAAGCCCTTTCACCTCCCCCCCCCACAACCCCCCCCCACCCCCGGGGAAGAGCTGAGAAAGAAACCAAAGGAAATCAGCTGTTGCCACCAGCTAATTAAACAACATCCACAAACCTCTTAAGACACCAAAAATCCAATCCTGTTCTTAAAAAAGGTAAATTTTATTAAAACCAAAAAGAGAGAAAATACATCTGGAACTTAGGCTTTTGCTAGATTAAAAATACCCCACTTACAAAATTTAAACATGAAGAATAACCTTCTTGAGGTCTGGTTTAAAGGTTACAAGCAAAGCAAAAGCATTTGGGATTAGCACAGAGGAGTACACAAACCAATAAGAAATAAACAGAAATAAACCTAATCACATCTTTCTAAACATTCCTAATCTACTTACATATCTGGGTTGTTAAATAAGTAGTTCTAGATATGATCTGATGATTTGTATATCTGGCCTTCAGTTTCTCACAGCATAACTGCTCCCTGTTCCCCTCTTTCCAGGAGACCCACAACACCCAGACAAAGGGAAGATTTTCCCAATTTTAAAATGTTCTAGCCCTCCCTTTGGCTCTTTTGGTCAGGTGCTGAGTCCTTTCCTTTTACCTGTGGGCTTGTTAACCCTTTACAGGTAAAGCAAGTAAAGAACAGCTACTAAGAGGAATTTTATAGCTAACTGGCTGGCTGGGCATCCATAAAAGGATCCCCCACCCCACCACTTCATTTATCACAATTTCTCAGGATGTAAAGAGAGCACACTGTAGGGCTCAGCACACTGGTTCAGAGAGACTGAGAATCCACTCATCCAAACTATTGTTTATGCCTGGAAGTAGATTAGCCATTGTTCAGGGCTTGAAATGTCAATGTTAGGTTAAAGACAGCACCGGAAGAGGGGCATGGGGCAATCCAACAGTTGATGGGAAGTAATATGGTTTATGAATTCCCTAGATTGAGGTGGTCGGTATGTATCTATGTTCTGTCCCCAGTTTTGCCACTGACATACTATGTGATCTCGCCCCAGTTTCAACCTCTTTGTACTTCAGGTACCTCATTGGAAAAAATGGACGTAGCTACCCCTCTTTGTCAAGCATTTTGATCTTTTCAGATGAAAATCTCTGTCTCAGCCAGATCCAGTGTCCACTGGAAAAGAATGACCACTTTCTTCAGTGGACCTTGGATAATTACTAAGTGTTATTATATATTAAATTCTATCCATCCCTGCCTGTCACTGCCACCTCTTCCGTCCTCCCCGCCCCCGACAAAAATCTAACCTGTTGTTGCAAGTCTCAGATGTGGGGGAAATAAGGCTAGGCATTGCAAACCCTTCTATGTTCTTCAAGGGTGGGCATTGCTAATCCCCTCTGATATTAACTTCTGGGTGCAACTGACCAGGCTGCTAATCCAGTCTGGAAGGGAAAGACCAAATAATTACTCTGCTGATTTGGCTGGCTCTTTTTAAAAAGTTAATGCTATTATGGATAATACTCCCCAAAGTGCAATGGGGGATTTTGAAATTGACAGTTTCAGGCCAGTTTTACAAAGGCAGTGGAGCAACCAGGACTGAGGAACAAAAAACAACACTGAGTTTTAAAAAAAATCAGAAAATATGAAGGTCTTGGTAGGTACATAGTCAACTAGTGTTATGTACTTCAAGAGCTTCCTCAGCCATGGCATGAAGTGACAAAGCCCCTTTTAAATCTTATATTTTATCTGCCTTTGGAATTTTCATATGGATTTGAAGCATTGCTCTCAACTCCATATATTGCCATCTAGAGAAAGTAGGGGCACTGGTTGTGCTTTGAACAAGCCCATTATCCATGACCCTGTTTGCTCTGACCTGAATATGCTTCTGTCTCTTGTATTCTCGCCCACTTCCTCTAACTCTGTTGCTTTACTTTCTTCTTTTGTGCATCCTCATTCAAAATAGAAGTTCTGCCACATGTGTTCAGTTCCCTGCTGTTCTGTGTGTGGTTTTCTTGTTTCTGCTCACCAGTTTGCTTTGTTTTCTTCCCACAAATTGCATTTCATAGAATCATAGAATCATAGAAGATTAGGGTTGGAAGATACCTCAGGAGGTCATCTAGTCCAACCCCCTGCTCAAAGCAGGACCAACCCCAACTAAATCATCCCAGCCAGGGCTTTGTCAAACCTGGCCCTAAAAACCACTAAGGATGGAGATTCCACCACCTCCCTAGGTAACCCATTGCAGTGCTTCACCACCCTCCTAGTGAAATAGTGTTTCCAAATATCCAACCTAGACCTCCCCCACTGCAACTTGAGACCATTGCTCCTTGTACTGTCATCTGCCACCACTGAGAACAGCCTAGCTCCATCCTCTTTGGAAACCCTCTTCAGGTAGTTGAAGGCTACTATTAAATCCCCTCTCACTCTTCTCTTCTACAGACTAAATGAGCCCAGTTCCCTCAGCGTCTCCTCATAAGTCATGTGCCCCAGCCCCCTAATAATTTCTGTTGCCCTCTGCTGGACTCTCTCCAATTTGTCCACTTCATTTCTGTAGTGGGGAGCCCAAAACTGGATGCAGTACTCTGGATGTGGCCTTACCAGTGCCAAATAGAGGGGAATAATCTGCTGGCAACGCTGGCTCGATCTGCTGGCAACGCTCCTACTAATGCAGCCCAATATGCCGTTAGCCTTCTTGGCAACTGCTGACTCATATCCAGTTTCTCGTCCACTGTAATCCCCAGGTCATTTTTAGTAGAACTGCTGCTTAGCCAGTCAGTCCCAGCCTGTAGCGGTGCATGGGATTCTTCCATCCTAAGTGCAGGACTCTGCACTTGTCCTTGTTGAACCTCATCAGATTCTCATGCTGAAACTCATGCTTGAGTTTCAGCATGAGAGTGGCTTTTGTTAGAAATGTGCATCTAGCTAACATACTGTATATGACATATGGCATCTAACTGGCTCAAGGAGAAATTCCAGTTTACAGCCTCAGTCCATGAATATAACTCTGGCAGAAATAACTAAGGATATCTACATTACAAAAGCCAATACAAACTTTGATAAATCTTCCTTGATATATGGAAGTGTGGTTCTCTTGTATAAATCACTGTGCTGGTGTCTGGGCACCATCTATCAGTGACCTTTTTTTCCTTCAGACACATGGTACTTCATAATACAGTACATCATTTTTTTCCTTTTGTACAATGAAATCATTTACGTTTAAAACAAGTGGATTCTAATGGAAGTGAACCAACAGTTTAAATACAACAGAAAGCATTCCAAATCAATATACTGTATGTAATGTGTGCTCATATCAGCTAGTATTTGTTGTGGTTCATATTTTCCTCTCTATTATGTGGCACAGAAGACAGCAAATGAGTCTAAGCTTGATCTTAAATGTTCCAGGCCAAGAGATAGTGTGAAAGGAAAATAGACCAATGTCTCTGTTGGAAATACCATAATGCAGTGTGTTATGCTTTAGCCCACCTTTCACAAGGAATCTGTTGGAAATAATCTAGAAATCTTTAACTAGATATCCTGTAGCAATATCTTTTACTAAATAAATGTGATTTTTAAAAGGTACATTTGGGGGTTTTAGAGTATACCAAAAAAATTATTTTAATAACTCCCTGAATCCACTGTAAAGATAGCAAAAACTTTGAGATGATATGAACAAGGTTTCAAAGCAATATGCTCATTGGTTTAGATTACAAGTTTTAGCTATGAACACTAATGATTTAGCTATGATGAGGAAAAGTCTAACTCTTCACTGTTTCAGAAAGCCCTTGACATTTTATCTAATGAAATGAGGCACTTCTGCAATTCTTCTATTTTAGTGATGAGAGGAAAAAAATTAACCAGTCATTGGAAAGAACCTACTAAATTTTAGAACACTGGATTTAAATACATATATATTTGCATAGGGTTTCATTATGCAGATTTCAATCATTTAACTTTATTTTTGTTCAGATTAGCATGGCAGACAAACTACATTAAAAATAAGCATTCACCAAAATTTACCTAACAAAGCCAAACCAAGTATTTTAAATAAGTGGGATTTTTTTTTAAGTTTTCCAAATCGCCACACGTAATTAGCAGCTCCCTCCATGTAAAAGCACCATGACTGGGAAAAACTTACTTGGATAAAGATGTGTTGCTCTTTGAAATACAATTATGCCATATTTCCTTAGAGAGGCAAGGATAGCACCATTTCAGACGGAGCAGGAGTCAAGGCCTACAATTCCTCTAGTGGCCAGGCATCTCCTTTTCCCAAACCACAGAGATTCCTGATCAGATGCATACACCCTCCAAGGGGTCATTCCATACCCTTCCCAGCCTGTCCCCTGTGCTGCCCAAATGCAGACAGTGTTGATGTTGCCTCACTTACTTGGCCGTGCGCTCCTACCCCTCCTGAGTAGGAGCTGTAGCCACAAACAAGGTGAATGCAAACCCAATCAGCATTAGCCACTGCAGCAATTTTCTGTGTACTTTATGATCATGGTGATCATGCCACACACAGTGGCTCCTCTCTGGCTCTTTCCCCCACCAGCCACACACCCTGATTTCCCATTGTGCAAGTAAAGGGGCTGTTCTTGGCTACATAGTTGAGGCTAGCATGCCACCTATCTTTTTCCCCTGTGTGTACTGTCTAGCTTCATTAAACTGGTATTTGTGTTCTTTTGCTCCCCTCTGTGCTCTTTAGTGAGGAGAGCATATGGCTCCATGTTATTAACAAACAGTTTTTGTGCTTAATTCAACACAGGCATGAAATGGAAAGTCTGTCATCACCCCATGGGGAAATCATGAACTCTTGGGTGGGTCACAGGAAAGCACCAAGAATTTCAGATGTGATAGTGCTACTTGCATACTTTCCACAGCTCTAGCAAATGTCTACATGTAGCAGTCTTCAAAGCTTCCAAATAATATTTGAGATTTGGGTTTGAACACAGTAAAATAGCTTCAAAGACAAAATCAGGCAGTACAAATTCACCAGGAGCTCAAGTTTTACTGTGTCATCAGTGACCTCTGTGCCTCATTATTCCTTCACTTGCTTAGTCTAAGAAAACATTATATTGTGCTGGTTGACTGAAATGAAAAGGTACAGTGTAAAAAAGATTTGCAGTGGTTACTGTACTTAATTCTGGCCCAGACGTGCCCAGGTAAGCCAAACAAAAAGGCTTACATGTTAAAAATAGCAGTTCTGCAAACATCAGATCAATTTGATTTGGATTTTTGTGACCTTTATGGACTTTTCAGTAACTTGATCAACACAGACAGTGTTACTTCCCTCAGAGAAAATAATTGGATCAAAAAGGACAAACTCATTTAAGAAATGGCTTTTTAAAGGGACTTTTCAAGTCAAATTTGACCCCAAATTTAGATTTCATTTAAAAAACCTCTAAGTGTCCATGAAACTTAATATCAATAGAAATGTTACCATGAAGTTTCTTTTAATTCCCCTTCAGTGTTTCAATCCAACACTGCAGCATTTTGCAGCTAATGCATGTGAAAACGACTAGAACCCAAAGTTCAACTGACCAGTCTAATTTTATTCTCCATGTTAAGAGAAATGCAAAAAAGGAATGGAACAGCATAAAGAGCAAAAATATAATTAGTCTTTTAACCTTTAGAGTGAAATCTTGGTCCCCACTAAAGTCAATTGTAAAATTCTGATTGACTTTACAATTCTGATTGATTTCACTCTGGTTTAAAGAAGAAAAGTATTCTTAACAGATAAGGAAATTAGCTTTATTTTTAAAATATACTTTTTTGTTTCTCATGTCTCTTTAAAAACATAAATTATGTGAATTTAAGGTGTGCAAGTTGGTTTGCATAAAATTAAGTGCAGACTTTTACCCAAAACTTATGTTGAAACTGAATGAAATTTTCTCTGAGGTTCCGATAAACTAAATTAACTTTTGTTTTAGTCAGTTTGGTTTTCTTTTTTCTGTACATCTCTGTGTACTTCCTCGTTTCTTCCAAGACCAGAATCATTAGACAAGAAAGGCTGTTGTAATATTTCACAAAACCAGACAATATCAAGTCTCCCATGAAAGCTTTTATCCTGGGATTTCCAGACAGCAGGGATTTTGATAAGTGCAGATAAGCTTTGTATAAGCATCTGAACTTTAGGCATGTTATCTGAACCAAACCATTTCCAAACCTTTTGACATTCACCCCCACTAGTTATTTTTACTTCTACATATTCCTCTCCACAACACACAATATGGATGGCAGTATTTTGGCACTTTCCTTACCTCCTCTTCTTAGAGGTGATGGATGGGCAGACAAGTTCTTTCAGAGTCAGCACTAATGTGACTGTTTGGAGCATCTGGGAAGGTATGTGTGGATAAGAGACGCTCACAATATCTTCCTCCTCCAGACAGACTGCATCGCTTGTGTAACACCATGCCTTGTAACTCAAGTGCATTCCTAAATTTAGATCTCCCCAGCATTGGCACAGCAACAAGCTGTTGTTACTCCCAAACCTAGTTTGAAGTGGTACACTTTTTGCATGTTAATAATACTGTAACCTCTCCTCCCCCTGCCTTTCAAGAAGTACTTGACATCACAGGTAGAGAACAAGAGAAGTTGTAGAAACCGATGAAGGCAATTCAACCCACTATATCTTTTTTTGTTTGTATTAAATCCACCTTCTTGCTTTTTCAGCAAATCTTTCAGTCCCCTCCTCTTCAGAAATAAATCTAAACTAATACTGAATTTTTCTTTGCGTCAATCAATTTGCATCAATCAATTTTCCAGTAACCTGTTCCGTATGTTGTTTATCCTTCATATGTAATAGTTTTGCCTGGGTTTCCCATTTAGTGGTATGGGGGCTAGTGCTGCAGATGACATTCCAGATGGGGTCTAAAAAGTACTTTATAAAATAAATTCTGAACTTCATCTCTCTGAGAAAATCTACTGTCTGTCCTCGGTAGAGTAGTGCTGAACTACTGTTTAGTAAATGATAATACATAAGTCATTTTTCTTGGTCAGTCTCCTGGAGGATTGTTTCTTGTAGCATAAATTTCCTAGGTTGACTCCTGATTTTCCAACTAATTATTTATATTTGTCTATATTGAATTATATTTGAGGACAGCTAGAGTAAGCTTCTGAATGATCAAAATCCTTCTGAATTTGATTGTGTAACTTGCTGTTCAGTGTCTATTACATATCCCCCGTAAGTAGTTGGTCCACAGAGGTTTATGAGCCTGCTATAGCTTCTAGTTATAGGAATTAATCCTTTAGATTAACAGAAGGGGTTCATTATTTTAGTGCTAAAGGCCATGAGTTCAAACCCTGCATGCAGCCTGAACAGGGTTGGCTAGTTTCCTTTCTTTCCTCTGCCTGCTATGTTACGGTACGTCTACATGGCAGATTTTCCACATCTTACCATGTGTTTTTGTATCAAGTTTAGATAGTCCTCCATTGCCATTCTCACAATTCCCTATATCTCTATTTTCTGGGCCATGTACCAAAAGCTACCTGTTGATTCATATACCCTCGCGCGGCATTTAGCCCTTCATGTTCCATTTAGTTATGTTTATGCTTGGAAGAAGCTCACCCATTCTATGCTTCAGATGTGGCAAGTTTTCTGTTGGCATTAGACATACTTCTTAACTTGTCATGGTCCAAATGTGGAATGTGATACACAAAAAAGACAGTATGTAGGATACAGAAAATGTACTCATGCAGGACACTTAAAATTAGGTGGGATTCCTTCTTTTACTGTAAATAACTCTTTCTATAACCTCAGTTTAATGATTCCTTATAATTTGCAACAATAATAGTAAGGGACATCAAATCTGTGTGAAACTTAGATAATGTTGGGGCTACAATGAATGACATCCCTCAGAATGTGGTACGCTGGAGAAGGGTGGCAGTGGCAATTTATTATAGTAGAATACATTGGTGGAATGACTTTGCAAAGAAAACAGTTGTGTTCAGTATGGGATTTCTCCCAGTCCTCCAGGCCCCCATTGTGAAACCGGACTTCCCAAAGGCGTTTCCCTCCCTTTTTTATGCAGATATTCTAAGGGCCCTTCCTCTGAAACCTGTGCAAGGGGAAAGGAAAGCTGAGCTGGAGTTAACTCCTTTTCCATTGTGGAGCAGTTACCCTGCACCCTATCACAGGAGCACATTTGCATATAGTTTCGATTTGGTAAGAATTCTAGAATTGGGATCTGCAGTTGGGGCTCGATTATTGTTTCCTGCCTGTCAAGGCACAGGTTGCCTTTTCAGAGCACTGCAGGAATCTCTGAACATGGCAGATCTGATTGGTGCGCCGCTTACTCTTCCTGCCCTCAGGAACAGTGAACAGAGCACCAAAGACAGGGGATTTTGTGCTGTCTGATGCACTGATAGCACTGATATATGGTGAAACTGAGTTGCAGCCACACTGTGTCATCTCACAAAGGAAACATTAACACAATGGCTGAACATGATTTTTTTTTTAGTCTTTTCTCACTTCATGTAGTGCTCAAGTCACTTTCCAGTGCTTCCAAATTGAGCATCAGTGGTTTCGATAATAGGCCAGATCCTGAGAGGCAGCCTGATCTCCTTTGGATCATTCTGGTGGCTGAAATGAGACAGCAAGCAACCGAGTTTCCCTAGTGAGGGGTCCCACTTGCCCCTGTTTTAGAGCAGAGGGAATGGGACTAGTAGAGAACCAGCCCCAGGATCAGTGGAAGCTGGGCACAGAAGATGAGAATGTGGCCCAACATAAAAAGTCATATGCTCACAGTTTTTATGTTGTTATGCATATTTTCTTTACCTCTACTAATGCCCATATTGCTGACTGCACACAATTTTTGAACTTTGCATTGCTTGATCAGTGCCCTGGTTAACCATATGCGTACGTATAAGCAAATCATTACTTTGTTTGTAACCAATGGTCAGCTTAAACTTAATCATGATTAACTGGGGACTAAATGGGGGAATATGAGGCACATAAAAGCAGCTGGGTGAAACAGTTTGTAGAAGAATCACTAGGGACTCGTCTTTGGTTTTCCCAAGCTAATAAAAAGGGTGAAAATGACCAAATATATTTAAAATTGATTAAATCTTGAGATACTGCTCAACATTTAACCAGGGATTTATCATGTCTGCTAGAAAGTCAGAGCAAATTTGGTTCAGTAAGATTCCTTCATGTTGATAAACTAGTCCCCCTATTTTATGCAATGTACTCGTATTTGTGAAACCAGTTCACAAAGACCAAGGGGTTTATAACTTCTAAGAAAGTGTCTATTTTTGTATCAGTCACACATATTTTTGTTTGCTTCTTTAATTTCTGAAAGCATGCTGTGCAGTATTGTAATTAACTTTTTTGCATTCCCCGTTTTAAGAATATTCTTTTTATATATGTTTTCATGCAGAAGAAAAGCCTCTTGTGATAGCTAAGGAAGTGAAAAGTAAGTAACTTAATTTTTTCTTTCTGTTGATGTGAATTTATGCAAGGGCTAATAGCATATTTGTTGCTTGGATTTGCTAGCTTCAGAAAAGCTTCTTCTACCCCAGAACAATTTTCAAGGAAAGAAAGAGTCTCACTTTATGGACTCATGATCTTTTGCATGTGCTATTCTGTATAACAATATAGGCTAGCTTCTTGTACATATTCATAATAGCAAAGCATCACAAAATAAAAAGCTATAGCTCTGCTAACTCAGCTGATACCCATAACTACACAACTTGAAAGGCCAAACCTGGATGGCTGTGGGGTGGGCAATACAAAGGGCAAATATGTTTGCTGTTATTTTACTAGCATTTAATGGGAATTCATTCCCTAACAAAGAGAGAGAAAGACAACAGGAAAGGAGTTTCCTGATGGCTCATACCTAATTCTATTCTACCAATTAATAACACTTATGCAATAAGTAATTAAATTATTGTGGCCTTCATAGAGAAAAAGCTAATTTCCAAGTTTCCCAGTGAATCCATAAAATAGAGACAAATGAATTTAAAAGATTGTCATGTTCTTTAGTAGACAATGGTTTAACTGCAATTCACCATGAATAGCAGATATCTTGTAATGACACGTTTAAAGGTCCAATTCATAAAAATGTTATGAGGGTATATTATTTATATAGGCTTTTGATGGTATTCTGCACTTATTGCTGAGTATCTCTTGCAAGTTTTTCTATTGTCAGTCAGGTTTTATAGGGGAAGCACTAAGTCAGAACAAATGCAGGGTTACTGTATCACTTCAAAAATTGTATTTATAATAGGTTAATTGGTATAATTGATTGAATAAGTGCCTATTTCTTAAATAATTACCTGGTGCACACACTGGCTCCAATTCTATCCTCAGCTTTGTGTGGACTTGCTGGAACATAGAGCATGTTTATATATTTGAGGGGATGAAAGTAGTGTTTTTAATAAGTGACTAATTGGTCCAGATTTGCACGTCTTCTCCATTGCATGGACTGATCTCCAGATATACGTTTTCTGCATTGTGATGGCAAATCTTCCAAAGCATACTTCAGTTGGCCAAAACTGGGTAGATTTAATAAGACACAGCACGGAGGGAATATGTACCATCTGAAACAGGTTGATCTACCCAATGGCACAGTTTGGCCCAATATAAGTATAAACATCTGTCACAAGTAGTCATGGTTTACCAGTGTGGGTGCCATAGAGATAAGACACATCTGGGTAGACAAGTCCTCCCACAACTATGCTGTCTTTTTGCCTCACTCTCTGTTTAAGTATTGGGCCTTGTTCAAGTCTCTTACCTTATTGTTTTATAAAATGTGGGTCATTGTTCTTTAGTAAGATATAAAAAAATCAACTGAACTTCTTTTAAATCTTTTCTTAGGAACAGAAGAGGAAAAGAGGATAACTCAAGAGAAGAGAGCTATTCCTGAAACTAAAAAGAAAGGCATGGAATTGGAAAGTTTGTCGAGAGGCTGATCCAGCTCCCATTGAAATCAATGACCAAATTCCCATTAACTTCAGTGGTGGCAGATCAAACCCTAAACTTGCACAATGCTCTCCTATTGGACGATCTTCCCATACCTTAGTAACATCACCATCCCATGTTTTACTACTTTTTCAGTTTGTGTCAATATTTTAAGGCTTTTCCTGGTTGACAAGCCAGAGAACCAATGGCAAACCTGGTGGTTTAGCCCCTTGGTTGTGAAGCTGTCCATGGCAATTGTAATGTTTGTCCCTGATATAACAGGACATGGCTATATTGCCATATGTGAAAATGGTGGGACATATAGCTTTGGACTCTGCATGCCAGTTTCAATGACATCAGTACCATGTCGTTTTGATAGTAATGAATAAGATTTGCAGCTACCACTGGTAACTTAAATTAAAAGGTACCACATTCCTGCACTGATGAGTCTTGCCTGGCCTTTCATGAATTATTAAGTATCCAGATTATCCAAAATTGATGCTGACTGATTAATTTTCATTTTGTATCTGATTGCTTTGTGACTAGGTATGGGCAATGGCTAGAATCATCTGATCTAAATTCAAAAATAAGTCACATTTTTTCAGTATGTGCCCACCAGGGCTTGGCTGACTGCATATTTGAATGTGTGATTCATAGTTCTATCATATCAAATGACTTTCTTTAATTAAATTTTAGAAAAAGAAGAAGAAAAAAAGAAATCCCCTGAGACGACTGTCCCTGAAATAAAAAAAGCAGGTAAGAAATTGAAATACGTCGGGTTTTTCAATATTTGACGTTTGATTATTTAATATATGTATTTTCAGTGTTTATACATTTAAAGTAGGTTAATATTTAAATTCCCATTACTTAAGTCTGCAGGGTTCTCCCTTATTCTGTGGATTTGGGATTTGGACAGAAATAAGTCATCCTCTCCCCACTCCTAACACCAAATTAAACTGTGGCATTATTAACCCCACTCAACGTATTCCAATTTTGGGATAGCTGGTGGATGCTTGATTTTTTAAAAAAAGTAGTATATGTAAAGTGGGGTTCAGCCCTGGCCATAATTTTTTCAGGGATAGTTATTTCACATTCAAATAATTTTAGGTCCAAATGGTAACAAGTAGCAGGGGAAATAGGTAGTTAGTTGTCTAAGGCTTTCTCTATGTTGGGAGAAATGAGTTGTGTTAGAAATAATATTAACAAACATGCTTTAACATGGAATCATAGAATATTAGGGCTGGAAGGGACCTCAGGAGGTCATCTAGTCCAACCCCCCTGCTTAAAGCAGGACCAATCCCCAATTATATCATCCCAGCCAGGGCTTTGTCAAGCCTGACCTTAAAAACTTCTAAGAAAGGAGATTCTACCACCTCCCTAGGTAACGCATTCCAGTGTTTCACCACCCTCCTAGTGAAAAAGTTTTTCCTAATATCCAACCTAAACCTCCCCCACTGGAACTTGAGACCATTACTCCTTGTTCTGTCATCTTCTACCACTGAGAATAGTCTAGAACCATCCTCTTTGGAACCAGCTCTCAGGTAGTTGAAAGCAGCTATCAAATCCCCCCTCATTCTTCTCTTCTGCAGACTAAACAATCCCAGTTCCCTCAGCCTCTCCTCATAAGTCATGTGTTCCAGACCCCTAATCATTTTTGTTGCCCTTCGCTGGATTCACTCCAACTTTTCCACATCCTTCTTGTAGTGTGGGGCCCAAAACTGGACACAGTACTCCAGATGAGGCCTCACCAATGTTGAATAGAAGGGAACGATCACGTCCCTCGATCTGCTGGCTATGTCCCTACTCATACATCCCAAAATGCCATTGGCCTTCTTGGCAACAAGGGCACACTGTTGACTCATATCCAGCTTCTCGTTCACTGTAACCCCAGGTCCTTTTCCGCAGAACTGCTGCCTAGCCATTTGGTCCCTAGTCTGTAGCGGTGCATTGGATTCTTCCGTCCTAAGTGCAGGACTCTGCACTTATCCTTGTTGAATCTCATCAGATTTCTTTTGGCCCAATCCTCCAATTTGTCTAGGTCCCTCTGTATCCTATCCCTACCTGCCACCATATCTACCACTCCTCCTAGTTTAGTATCATCCGCAAATTTGCTGAGAGTGCAATCCACACCATCCTCCAGATCATTTATGAAGATATTGAACAAAACCGGCCCCAGGACCGACCCTTGGGGCACTCCACTTGATACCGGCTGCCAACTGGACATGGAGCCATTGATCACTACCCGTTGAGCCCGACAATCTAGCCAACTTTCTACCCACCTTATAGTGCATTCATCCAGCCCATACTTCTTTAACTTGCTGACAAGAATACTGTGTCAGCACTACTGAGTGTAGACAAAAGCAGGGCTGTTTTTTTAAATTGATAACTAGGAACAAATGTTAATGTCCTGTCTACACTAGAATTTGCAATCATTGTAGTAATGATTTAGTGTTGACACATGTTCAAGCATGTTTAAAATTCAAATGAAGCTTCTTCCCATGTCATTTTAATATCTTTCATTTCTGCTTTTATTGTGCATTTCCAAGTTTTCCTTGGTCTATCGCATCCCCTCTCGCCCTGGGAATTTCTGTCCAGTGCCTGTCTTATGTTGTTTGATTCTTTCCTTCATGTGTGTTCTCGCCATCTTTATTTTTGTTCCATAATTTTCTGTCCTATCAATTTCTGTTTCTTCCTCCTCCAAAGCTCTTCATTTGTCTTTTTTTTTTTTTTTGGCCATCTAATGTTGAGGATTTGTCTAAGGCAGCTGTTTAGAGAAACTTGAAGTTTAGATAATAAGGTCTTGATAAGTCTCTAGATTTCAGCACCATTCAGTAAGATAGACTTTACAATGGTGTTAAATAATCAAAGCTTAGTTAGGAGGGAAAAGACTCTGTTTCCCTAGATTGGCTTTGGGGTTGCAGAGGCATGTCTGGTTTTTGCTATTCCATCTGTTCCATCGTTTTTGCTCATGGTGCTGTCAAGAATTGCAAAGTGTTGGACCTCTTCTATGCCAACCTCATAAAGTGTTATTGGTATTTCTTGTTGGATGTTGATTCTCATGATTTTCATTTTCTCTGTGTTGATTTTCAGCCCGACTAATTGTGCATAGGTTGGAGATAATTTGTGTTAGCTTGCTTTTCTCCATGAGTATGGGTCAGCAGGTTGATGATCTGTTACTGTCTCTGCTCCATTCCTGTTACGTACAGACTCTAAAGTTCTTATCCATTTGCGCAGAATTGCAATGTGATCAATTTTGTTCCCTGTTCTGTGGTCTGGCTACCTGCCAGTTATCTTGTGAATAGTACGGTGAGGGGAAATAGTTCCTCCAGTGACCAGATCATTCATTCCACAAAAATCAGCAAATATTTCCCCATTTTTGTTCATTTAACAAAGGCCTTATTTTCCCATAATTACTTCCCTGCCTGTATTGTTGCTTCCCCCCCACCCCCACTTTCGTGTTCATGTCTCCAGTTACCAGGAGGACATCCCTTTTCAGGACCTTGGCTACTTCTGTTCACGGAAGTTTTCTTATTCCCATTGGCTAGCTAGATTTGTTAGAGAGTAGCACTGAATAATGGGCACTTTCTGAAACTTTGATGTAAATTGTGGTGTTATAAATCTGTCAGGCTTTTAGCTGCCCTCCTTGACAGTATCAGATTATGCCATCTCTATGTACATTACCCGCTGCCAGGAATGAGGACTTGCCGCTGTACCTGCCCAGTCTCCTGGGAGCCTATGAGCACAGCTGAGCCACAGCAGGGCTGCCTGATTGACTACTCCGCCTCTTTGGCTGAGAAAGTCAGCAACCCTGCTCTTAAGCCTAACAGCAACAACTGATATGTGGCTGCTCTATACATACCCCCACAGCTGCAATCTCTCCTTGCCTCACTAGCCTTACTCCAGCCCTGATCCTGGCTTATTCCCAACCTTGCTACTGTCCTTCCAGTCTGCTCCAGCCTTGCTTGGTCCCTGTGTCCTGACTCTGGCTCTGTTCCTGTCTTGTAACTCCAGCTCTGACCACGTCTGTGCTAGGCCTGACCATTTCTGCTCTGACTGCTAAGCCTGACCACCCACATCCCGGTTCATGACATTGGCATTCAGTAGCCCGGAATATAGTAGGATGTGTCCAGGTGACAGTTATTTGTCATGATGTTACCCATCTCACTTCACTTAGGCCTAGTATATCTAGTTTATATTTGTCCATTTCTTTTGTTACTTGGGCTGTTTTATCAGACTTATATAGCGTTTACATGTTCCAGATACCCATTTTAGTTACGGATTTAGGATGGAGAAGATTCATCAGAGGAGTAGCTTCCTTTCAGGTTTGGCCACTTTGTATCATCTTCTCTCTTCTAGGTCTAGATGAGTTAAGTTGAATTAGGTTCGGTTTGTTGAGCTGAGCGGTAGTGTAGGTTTCCATAACAGCCTTGTTTTTTTATGGGAGCAGTTGTTAGCCCACTCCCAACCAGGCCCTACCAGGAGGATTGTTGGACTGCCTTTGGTCTGGTTTCTAGTCTTCAGCCTGGCATAGGTGACCTTACCAGTTATATTCCCACTAGCATAGTTCTCAGGGTCATGGCACCATGCAAGCTGTCCCACCACATCAAGGCATAGTCCTTGGGGAAGGAAACTACATTACATGCCATGTAATTCAGAAATGAAACATCTGGTTTTGATGCTATCTCCTTTTGAACCCCTAAAAGCAGGAAATCATAATGGAGGAGACAAACTACAGTTTACAGTGTTGCCAACTCTCATTATTTTTATCACACGTCATGCATTATTTGGTGTTTTTCTTAAAGTCCCATCTGCTGGAGTCATGTGATTAAGGGAGTATCTCAGCTTTTTATTAAAGAAAAGGTACTTTTCTACTCTCATGATTAGGGAGAAAGGCTTGAAAACAGGAACCCTAAAGGCTCAAACACCAGAAGGCAAATAAAAAGAACCCACAATTTATTGTTTTAACATTATTGTAATTTCCAAGCTAATCTCATGAGTTTTGGGGGTCTAATTTATGATTTTTGAACACTTGGGACAACTAACTCTAGCAGTATTGTTCTAGTGTACACATAAGGATCTTTAATGCTTTGCAGTTTGTGGATGTAAGCTAATGTGATATAATAGGAAAGAGGTTACTGATAAGGCTTCTGAACTCCAAAATGCAAAGGATTAAAGTAACAAAGACAGGAACTTTTATACTAATTCTTAAAGAAGACATATCCACTCAAAAGACAATAGTAGAACTTACAATAACATCTCTATTAATCATGTATACAAATAGGGCTGATCTATTCATGCAAAATCTTATGAGGAGGAGCTCAGAAAAAAGCGTTTATGAATTTTTTTTTTTGAGAGGTGTTGAGTACTCACAATTGTAATAACAGTTAATGGGCATTTAGACCCAATGGTGATGATCACAGTATAGGAATAGAATGGAACAGAGCCTAACACCACACTGAAAGGGTTAAAACCAGGATCACAGGAAGCATTATCAGAGCCAGGCCTACAACTCAGGTATTCCTGGCACGATCTATGCTTTCTAATTATTCAGATCTCATGTTAAATTACATCATAAACTGAGAGGATATATATTCCATAAAGTTTACTGAAGTATAAAGTTAAATTGCATCTTTAAATGTATAAATATAGATTTAAAAATAAAATATCATAACTTAAGATGGTGATTCAAAATGACCCTTATAACTTTATCCTGACTCTAAACTTGCTTTTCATATAGAGTTTTAAAAGATTACATT